CAGGGACACCATCTTGGCACCAACATGACTGGTTTGTTCCACTTTGGAGTAAGCTGTTTGGGGGAAGACTCAGTTTTGTGTTGTGCGTTTCCTTGACTGATGAAGCCTTCTGGATAGAAGGTGAAACGTTTCAGAAAAAAAAAAAAAAAGAAACTGTCCGGATGACATGACTAAAAATTGTTGGATTGTATACCTGGATTATTGAGCATGGACTTTTTTTGGTTTTTGCCAGTTTGTTGTAGAGTGGCTGAGGGTAGGGTTTGTTGGGGGGCATGCCCCTCCCCTCTCAATCTGGCAACTTTTAGAAACAATTTTTTTTTAATGGTTATTTGACTATTGTTATATTAGAAAGCCATTACATTTTATAAAGCCTCACTTTTACATTGTGAATTTAAAAAAATCATATTTTTATTGCCCAAACTACTTGTAAAATTGATCATATTTTTGACAGTTTTTCAGAAAATTTGACAATTTTTATTAGTTATACATGTCTAAATGCAAGAGACGATCTTTTAATATTAATGTGTTATGTGTTATTAGTGTATGTCAATGGCAAAATTAGATCTCTGCATTTAGCCCATCCAACACCAGGTGGGGCGGTGAGCGGCTATTGGGGGTGCCTGGGGAGCAACTGGGGACGGGGTGTCCTGCTCAGAGACACCACGAGATGTGCAATGACTGGGGATCGAGCCCAGAACCTTCAGGTCCCGAGTCGGCTGCCCTGCCTCTACACCATCTCAGCCTCCAATACATATTTTAATGTATATATACATGGACTAGCCAGGAAAATGGACAGAACTGGCCATTACGTTTGCATAGACCTTTACCCCTACAAATGTAGATGTTTGTCTCAAACATCCAAAACCATATTTAAAATTGTGGATTTTTTTTACGGACTAAACATGTCAGCCCAAGGAGCAAAAAGGTGATTAGAGTTCTTATAGTCCAGGTAGGGTGATAATGTTATTGCTGATCTTCTTTATGACGGAGGTTGGGGTTATATGTGGAGAGGGTTAACCCAAATGGTTCCAGGCGAAAGAGGTGTACATCTGGACGATGGCAGGCGTTGGGGAAGTGGTAGGAAGGTGTGGAGGCAGCTCTGATGAGGCACAGAGGAGCTCGAGGTCCACAGAGGAGGATTCAGGAAACATGAGGACATCGAGGGTTAATCACTGGAGGCACGGAGAGAAATACAAACCATCAATACTTGGTTTTACACACGAGAAAAAGGCTAGAACAAGACTACCGTTGGCAGGTAATGCTCCAGCACTGGCTGGATGTCTTCTGTAGCCTTTTATGCTCCTCATGCTCCTCAAGTTGATATAGCTGATCAGAGTCTGACTGTGGGTGCAGCAGCTTGCAGAGCAGAACTCCCACAGCGTTTGTTTTTTGCCAAACATCTCTACTTTGGTCTTGTCTGCCATGGGGACATTGTTCCTAACGACTGTAGTTGCATGGGTCTCAATTAGCTCATTGTTTCTGTCGTTGTTTGCCCAGAACTCTGCCGACAAGGTCCACAATGATGTGGAAAACGTCCTGTCAGATCTGCAGCACGCTGTGGAGAAACTGCAGGAGCTACTGGATGAGGTGATGGATCAGGCCTACTTAGAGAAGATGAACCAGGCCCAGGAGGTGGTCGACGGTTTGGAGTCCGAGATCAAGGAACGAAAGAAGAGGGACACGAAGATGAAGGACTTGGCAAACTGTGAAGACAACATCTACTACCTGCAGGTACGTCTCCTGGGACAATTCAGTGGAGGATGTTCTTGCTTCCTAGACCTTCGATTTTTGCAAATGCTTTTGAAACAAATTGTCACCGTGGTTGTTGTTGGTCTGCAACGAGTTTCTCTAAATGTAATTCTCTCTCAGACATGTGAGTCCATGAGCACTCCTCTTGAGTGTGGGGACCTGCCGGCTGTACACGTCAACCCAGAGGCTTCGTTTGAACCTGTACGAGATACAATCCAGGCCCTCAGGGAGCGGATTGAGGACTTATGCAACCAAGAACTCTGCAAGATCACCAAACAAGGTCGGACACAGAAGGCCTTTCTGGCTTGTCCTTTGTTAAACGTTTTTCTTTTGCCTTGGTTTCCATCGTTTCGTCTCTTGTCTTTCAGCCAACGACGCCACACTGTTCACACTGGGAAACTGTAAGTCCAGAAACACGTTCTTTTCATGATAACAGAGCTTGAAGCCATGTTTCTACCTAACGGTGATCTCTTCTGATCTCATCTAGCCAAAGGCATCGGACAGAAAGGAGGCCTTCTTAAACGTGAGCTTACTTCTGAACTCTGAATACTTTTATCGGATGACACTTTCCGTGACCCTGATAGACGTATTTCCTTCCCTTTCCAGTGTTTTCTGGCATTGGTTCCCGCAACGCAAACAGTCGTGTAGCAGGTAGGTCCAGTATCCGTTTGCCTATTTGTGGGAATGTTACTTCAGCAGTCGTATGTTTTCCTGTTTGGAGTTGCATCGGAATGTAACTACTTCAGCATACCTTGAGCTTTTTAGCCATTCAAGTGTCAAAAGGTTCGTTGTTGTCTTGGTTACGACTTTTAGGTTTTGTATCATTTTTATCCCGTGTCTTGTTCGTTTCCTTACATGTCCTTTTTCGCTCGTTGTGCATCCGTCTGTCTTTTGATGTCTTTTTTTGGTCAGTTGAATTTGTTTCGTTATATTATGAACATTTTTGTCTCATTTATACTTTTTGTATTCTTATGTCTTTTTTTGTGTTTTTGTTTTGTAATTTTATATCCTTTTGGTTTTTTATACGTAGGTTTTTACTTTTTAGGCATCTTTTTGGTTCTGTGTCCTTTTTGATTCCTTTTTGTCTCGTTATACATACTTTATCTCTTTTAATGTCCTTTTTGTCTTATGAACCTTTTTGGTCTTTTTATCTATCCTTTTTGTTTCATTATACGTCTTTTCAGTATTCTCCTTTTCTTTGCACCTTGTGCTTACCTTTTGTGTTTTTATCCTTTTTGTCCCTTATGTGTACTTTTTTAAAAATACATAGCATTTTTTCTTCTTTTAGGGTGTCTTGTCCTGTGTACTTTTTGATTCCTTTTTGTTTTATTAAAGAGACATTTTGTCTTTTATGGTCCTTTCTGTGTCCTTTGCATCCCTTTTTTGTATTCAGTCATCTTTTTTATCTCCTTATGCTTCTTTATTGTTTTTAATACGTAGTTTTTGACTTAGGCATCCTTTAGTCCTAAGCGTTTAATATTTTGAGTTCATATATCTCCATTTTGTTTCACTAGGCATCCTTTTTGCATTTTGTTTTTGTCTTTTTTGTTTCCTTATGAATGTTATTTGTTTACTAACGCACCTTTTTGGTCTTTTTATGCATCATGTTATATCATTAAGTGAACTTTTTGTCCTCTTTGAATCTTTTTTTGTCTCCTTGTGCATCTTTTTGTCTCTACGCATCCGTATTTTTGTCGATTTAAAAAAAAAACAACATTTTTTTAAACCATTTTTCTGTTTTGCTCTTTGTATCTTCTTTTTCTTTGAATATTCCAGCTAATAATGAAAGTTCAGCTATTGTTTGTGGGGTGCCGTTTGTAAAGTAACACAATCAAAAATTAACAGCAATATTTTTGATTTATTTAGGTTTTAATAAGAATATAGTTTTTTTTTTGTTATATTTTCACCATGTTATTCATACATTTATAAATGTCATAGTTCCAAACTAAATATTTAATTTACAAATACTTAACTTGCAAGTGAAATATTTAGTTAGTAAACTAAATATTTAGGTGTGAATTAAATATTTAATTTGCAAGCTAAATATTTATTTTCAAAACTAAACATTTAATTTCCAAACTAAATATTTATTGTCCAAGCAAATCATTTAATTCCTAAACTAAATATTAAATTTGCTAACTAAATATTTAACTTAGACCTACATATTTAACTTGCAAGCTAATTTAGGTTAGAGTTAAATATTTAGTTTGCAAATTATATGTTTATTTTGGAAATTAAATGTTTAGTTTGGACAATAAATATTTAATTTGCAAATTAAATTTTCAGTTTTGAAAATAAATATTTAGCTTGGAAATTAAATATTTAATTTACACCTAAACATTTAGTTGACTAACTAAATATTTAACTTGCAAGTTAAGTATTTAGTTAGTAAACTAAATATTTAGCTTGTAAATTAAATATTTAATTTACACCTAAACTAAATATTTAGCTTGTAAAATAAATATTTAATTTACACCTGAATATTTAACTTGCAAGGTAAGTATTTTGTTTGTAAACTCAAATATTTAGCTTGTAAATTAAATATTTAGTTGGGAACTATAAAATTTCTAAACTACATTTCTAAATGTATGAAAAACATGGTGAAAATATGATTTTGAAAAAAATATCTATCCATCTATCTATCCATCTATCCATCCATCCATCCATCCATCCATCCATCCATCCATCCATCCATCTATCCATCCATATATAGATAGATAGATAGATAGATAGATAGATAGATAGAGATATAGAGATAGATAGATATAGATAGATAGAGATAGATAGATATCGATGGATCGATATATTTTTTGAAAGGGTAAATAAACCAAAATATTGCTGCACATTTTTGACTGTAACTTTACAAATGGCACCCCATAATTGTTCACCTCAATTTTCAGCTAATTTCGGTGAACTTGCTCAGCACCAAGCATCCTCACAGCATTCTTAAGAAAATGCAGATTTTTCTAATTTCACTTTGTTGTGCAGTAACGACAAAAATATGCATTTGCCTCGATGACCGCCTTTATTTTCCACAGCTCCCAGCATCTCAGTGGGAACCCGGAGGACAGACCGGCAGGGACTGGGTATGGTCAAGATTTATCAACATGGGACTTTTTGTGAAACAATTTACCAGATAAACCGAAGCCGTAACACATTTCTTGCCCAGGTACAGGAGTTAGAAGTCATGCTGCGAGGAACAGAGACGCACCTCGAGGTGAGGCTTTATTTGTTTGTCTTTTACTTGAAGCAGATGGGCAAAGTTTTAAAATGTTCCCGTCTGTGTTGTAGACAGAGGAAACACGAGCTCGCCCAGACTGGAGAACAGGCGGAGAAGAGACGAGAGGGAGAACGGTACAGTCCCCAAAAATTAGCCAATTAGTGGAAGTTGTGGCCGCCTCGATTTTGATTTAATCCAAAAGTTACAACTATTAATTACTTTCTGGAAGTTTTGTTAAAATCCGTCCACTGTTTCATGAGATATTTTGCTAACAGACAAACGGAGTCAACTTCAACAGCTAATGCTAATGTTTTAGGCAAATTAATGAATAGGACTTGGACACAAATCGTTAGCACATTATCTGCAAAACTGACCTGAATTTAGTCAAAATTGTGTTTTAAGGTCAGTTGGCTGTGACAGCCATATCCAAAGGTTCATCAAGAAAAATTTGGATTTGTGCTGATGTTGCAAAGTACTTGTTTCAAATCTTGAAAAGTCTTTGTGCTGTAATGTCAAAACTATAATTCAATCTTTCAAAGTGGGGTTCTACGGAAAGGTTATGAACATTTAATATCTTACCTGCTAGACATCCCTTTGAACTTCTTCTATGGTCAGAGTGTCCTGAACCTTGATCTCGTATCTCATCCCTTTGAACAGCGAGGGAGACAAACTCCCGACCCAGCCCGACGCCCAGTCCAACGCCCAGTCGCAGAGAGAATCAGTTCCTCTGGAGCCGGTCCAGTCAGAGGCCGGCTGCTCCTGCCACAGCTGCAGTGACTCAGACTCCAGTCCCAATCGCTACAGTTCCAGCTCCTACGCCGGCTCCAGCTCCCGCATCAACAGGAAGTATGCTCACATTGTTGCAATTTGTCGCCACCCAATGGCAGAGGCACTCGAACTTTTCCAAAGTAACTGCTCTCTCCTGGTGCGCTCAGCTTTTAGTCGGATGGCGTCCATCAGCAGCCTGTTTCGCTCCCGACGTGGCACCAACCAGGCAACATCAGCTGCCCCGGCTAACAGCGCAACACCCGTAGGAGAAAACCCATGTAAGACCTGACCCCTGCTTCTGAAGTCTCCCCTTAAAATCCAAAAACAGAACAGTTGCATTGACAAAATAAAACTACACAGAAAGAGATAGTCCAGAAATCTTTAAAGTGATGTTCTGTCTGAGCACGAAATGAGAAAGAGGTAAAAAGTCTTCCTAGCTAGCATCTTTCTCAAACTAGTGTGATAGAATGTTACATTAGCTAACAATAAACCTCTACACTTTTGCACGTATTTGGTTTATTGCCAACTTCTCAACTGAACAATGTTCATGTTGCTATGTAAAGTCGTGAGAGTCGTAATGCCGATGGTGTGGAGGCTGATGAATGTTACCGGTAATCCACCTGATCAGTACACATAGCTGGTATAAAGTTTTTCAACTTCCGGCGAACTGATACATCCAGCAGGGTTGCAGTTTTCAATAACCAAGTGATCTCTTTGTAAATCCAACAGGGGGGATGGCTGCCGTGGCCGAAACTTCAACAGATAGTACGACATTTTCTTTTTATTTATGTCAAATCAAAGTTTCATGGCACTGTCTCGTCGTTTCCCAGTAATGCGTCTAAATGAGGATTTCTCATTGTTCAGTTAACCCCGGTCTCTTCTTGGACACCCCCACACCGGACACCGCGATTCAGTCTCCTGCTTTTCCTGCATGTGAGTTAGCCTCATCTTCCTGCAGAGACAAATATACATCTATAAGTAAAACTGACCAAGTTTTTGGTTTTCCAGTAAGAGAGATCAACATTGACAGCATCGAGGCACCGGAACCAAGGACCAGAGAGGAGTTTCTTCAATGTGAGTCTCATTGCTTGTTTAGGCACTCAGGCCAGATTTTGCTCAAATTTAATGAGTATTTAAACGCAATTGTTCATTTTGTAGATTCTGTGAGCTTGACCCTTGACCCTAACACCGCTCACAAACGGCTGGTACTCTCTGAAGGTGACACTAAAGCGACTCTGCAGGCAGCAACTCAGCCTTACCTAGACTGTCCCCAACGTTTTGACGGCTGGACCCAGGTGATGTGCCAGAGCCCGTTATACGCCCAGCGCTCCTACTGGGAGGTGGAGTGGCGAGGGCGGGGCTCCTCGATCGGTGTGGCCTATGCGGCACTGAGCAGGAAGGGTTCGGACGCCAGATCGGGTCTCGGTTACAACCCTCAGTCCTGGACCCTGGAGCTGTCGGACACCTGCTGTCTGGCTATGCATGCCAACCAGAAGAGGGACATCCCAGTCACCTACTCCCCTCGTCTGGGCATCTATCTGGACCTGTCCACAGGAATGCTGGCATTCTACAGCGTGGCAGACAACATGACCCACCTTCAAAGCTTCAGGGCTAACTTCACCCAGCCGCTTTACGCCGTCTTTGGGGTGGGTAGCGGTGTTGGTGTGGGTTTGGATTTCGCCCTTGGGCAGTTCTCGTCAAGCTCCGACAGCATCAAGATCTGTCCCCTGTGAGTCTGAAGCCCAGTAACTGATGGATAACAATGCATTTGAGACAGTATATCAACTATTACAATGTACTTGGGGTGAATTCTGAAGACTGTCCACTGCCAACCACATTTTTATGGAACATTGCTCCAACCATTGGCGCCTCAGTGCAATGAGCATGTTTCCAGGTCTGTACTGACTGTGGGGTGTTTTTGGGTCATACTCAACATTTCCCTTCCGCCAAACACAGCAGATCAAACTGATGCCAAGAAACTTTTCCCAAGGCCTTCTACAACTCATTTGAATGTTCATTGGCAAACTTACAACAAAATGTTTAGAGCACAAGGACCTCGTGGACCCTGCAAGATTTTAATCCATTACAGAGTAGTGCATTACCAATGGTGGTCTTGATGACTGTGGTCCCATCTGCCCTCAAATTGCATATTTGCAGGTTGATTAACGCCATGAGGCAAGATCCTGCATGGAGCTCCAACCCCAGAAGGTCTCATCATGTAATTGTTCTTTTCTGTTCTGAATAACAGCACCAAGTGTTGTCATCTCATTGCTAGGCTTCTTGCTGATGGTCTTGTAGACCATTCCAGCTTTTGTTAATCTATTGTCCCTGAAGTCATTTGACAGCTCATTGGTTTTATCCATGGTGGTGGAGAGGTTGAACTAGAAGAAATTGGTTTTGTGGACAGGTGGGTTGTAAACACGGAGTTTATTAAAGTGACTGACTGGTATCTGTCACTTAACTTGGCCAATATGTGTAAGTACGGCATCTTTATAACTGTAATGAGTTCCTTTCCCCTTGCAACCTTCTTTCAAGGCTTTCTGTACATCTTTCATCAAGCCTATACAGTAATACCAATGACATTCATTTTATTTATATTGTTTTATTTAAAAAAGAGGCATCTGAATAATGACAAGGGACACACATAAACCCAGGACGTTTTAGAGTTCAGGCAAAAAGACAAAGCTGAACTTCTGGCTTCACAGGGAAGACAGGATATGACCACTGCCGTCCTTCTACTGTCTAGTTTACCTTTTTTTTTTAATCCTAAAAATGTCATCACATTCTTTAAACATGTGCCAGAACGTTTTCTTGTCAAAAAATTAAACATTTGACTTCCATGTTGATTCCCTTCATGAGAAAAACTCAAAATCCCCCCAAAATAATAATAAAGGGGGAACACATTAAAATGTTAGCTTATAATGCTACAACAAACACACAACTATGCAGAATGTTCTTATTATGTTATAAACTCTGTACAGTAATTAGTAAAATTAAAAAGTTCATGTGCAGATACTGAGGGCTTAGGTATGGTACGAGTAGGGTTCACACACATCAAGTAAAATTAGCTTTTTATGCGTTTTTGTTTGATACTATGTAATAATTCATACACCCCCGCCTGGTGGTCAATGTTTGTACTGCATATATCCCTGGTATTATCTCATGGCACCATGTAAACCAGAAAACAAGCAGAAACAAAAAATCTAGATGCGATTTAAGACTAATAATTTACGAGTGGGGTTCTCCCTTTTGAACTGAACCTGAACCTCTCAGACTTGCATAATGTCTGAAAAGTAAAGTGACCATTTGCTTTAGAAAACAAAGTGGCGATCCCACTGAGTGCAACAAATACTCAAATGTGAACAATGCTTGCCTCTACGTAAGGCCTCATACCATCAAAACTATACGAAGCACGAGAGCCTGAAGGAAAAGACGATCCCCTGTAATTGTTGGGGCGTTTAATTTGGTTCTGACCTCACCCTGAAACCTGGCCCCCACCTCTCGGCCAACAGATGCATGCTGGAATCTGTAGACAAGGTTGATTTTCATGCAGAAACTTTGCCAGAGCACATGGACGGTAACCAGACGTCCATGCAACAATGGACCACTGTAAAGCCACTTATGTTGGCAATGTAAATAACACTGGCATTGTTTGATGGCAAGAGTTGACTGGCAGTATGATATTTAATTAAGTCTTGAACTGAATTGTTTTTTCACAAATACTGACAGCTTGTATTTGTTGAAGCACATTTTTTAAACCGCTGCGTTTTGGCTGGCATGGTAAATGTACAATTACAGACTAAAGCTTTTCCAGAACGTTACAGATGAAGCCCTTGGAATGGCAAGACCCTGGATGCTCCGTTTTACTTAAACGTCATCTTCTTTGTACCTTCTTTCAAGATCAAACCATCCCAAACCTTTCCGTTCAGTTCATAAATCATCCTCACTGTTATCTTATCTACATCCACAAACCTTCCGACACTTGCGTGTTGTCCTTTTTTCCCCTTAAAGCCGCACCCGAGCATCCAGAGTCAGAGTCTTGCTAAGGCCAAGCATCATGGCAGACACACACATTGAGATACCGTCAAAACAGTTCAATTGTGCTTTAAATTAAGTCATAAAGGGAGGGGTTGTTCTGCAGGCAAATTCCCTGACTTTGATCCCCAATGGCCGAAAAGGATGAGACCTGTGGTGGAGGTCGAGAGGAAGAGGTTCTTGACTGTTATCCACTCAACCCTTCTTCACGGTTTGAATGAACTTCTTGAGGGGTTGGAGGCAGAGGCAAGACGTCGGCGCCGTTCTTTAAGATTTCCCCACGGTGGCGGCCGTATAGCCAGGAAGGTGGGATGAGGAGGATGACCTGCTGACTTACTCCCTGCTCGGGCGCCAATCATAGCAGGGAGACTCTGGTTGCGTCTCAGGCCGTCCATCAGGCTCCCCCCGCCTGCGGACACTAAAGTGGCAGAATCCTGACGTGGCAGTGGAGAATCGGACTCCGAACCGTGGAGCACCTTAGTGAAGCCCAACCGTCGAAGTCTCTCTAACAAGCCAACATTGGCCGAGTTGGGATTGGGTAGTTCAGGCTTAGGAGACGAGGAAAAGGCTGTGGTTTCCTGGGAGGGGCTTGGTAGGTCAGGATGTGGCGCTCGACCCAGGTTCAAGCCATAAACGTCTTGGAGAAAAAGCTCTGCAGGCCTTGAGGCTAGGAAATTATCAGCAGGGTGATGGCAGGACTCCATAGGCACTGGGGACGGAACCGGTGAGTGGGAAGGGGAGTTGGGAGGCGTGCTTGGATGGAGGCGCAACAGGGGCTGCCGGGGGGTGGGTCTTGCTGAAGGAGGAGTATCAGTGGAAACTTGTGCAGAAATACCCCTCTCTAGAACAAGCTTAGCCAGACCGCTGGGGGGTGCAACCATTGGTCTTCGAGGAGGGAAGGAGTCACCCAAACTCAGTCTGCAGGGAGTCACTGGGGTACTGGGACCAGTTCTCATAGAGCTGGGCGTGTTGGCCAAAAGGGATGACAGGGAACTGAAAAACACGTAAAAGGAACAGTTTGAGAATTAGAAAAATATGTGAACAAATCCCATCTGCTCAAACGAGATCTCTTTCTTACCCTGAACAGTTGGGTGTCCAACTATAAAGAGTAACAACTTTTTTCAAACTAAAGAAGTTCCAGCTCTAGTTCAGAGTTGGTGCAAAAGCCCTGTAAATCTGCAGCACTCCCAACACTCATGTATGTGTAGGTATGTACATACATATATGTAAATACATGCATATGTATGCTTAGATGTGTATGTATGTATACATATATAGGTTAATCATGAATGTAGTACTCCACCACCTTGTGCAGTCTTTTTCCAAATTTCTGCTTCTTTTTTTTGATTGTCACATTTGTTGTATCCACAGTATGTATGGATCCATCCATCCATCCATCCAGCCATCCATCCATTTATATAAAAAAAAAAAAGGAGGTTAAGAAGCAGTGTCGTGTTCCATCTCTACTAGAGCTGGTGGTGGAAACAGAAAGAGCTGGTGCTAAGTGAGCTCTGGATCCAGTTTAGTACTGTTTGGTGGAAAAAAAAAAGTAACGTGTGTTTCTTAGTAAACAGTTCTTTTAAAAAATAGATAAGGATTTATCCAAACTCTCCATAGGGCTTTTTGCCAAACCCCTAAAACAGCAGGTTTGAACCACATGCATAAGCTTTGTCGGACCACTTTCCTGATTTACCTCGAGGTGACCTGCGTGGTGTCAGTGGGGTGCAGAATGCGACAGGTTGTGAAGGTGTAGGTGGAGAAGGTGGAGCTCTGACACTTTCCTGGGTTTTGGACTGAACGCACAACAAGGATTCATGAGAAACCTTCACAGTAGCAGTGTGAACAGTGACGTGCAATGTTGCAAGTTAAAGTGATACAGTACCACCGGAAGATGCTGTGGATGTTGAAATTTGGCTTTGTGTTTGAACAGGCGCTGCAGAAGCTCCTGGAATGGTACAAGGAGACAAAGAGGACTTCTCTGTGGCAAGGCAGGGTGTCAAACAGAGGTCTGATCGGACAGACGATGTCCCTGATGACGTAGAAAGGGTCGGGGAGAGAGGTGCCACAGAAGGTTGTCTGTCCCTCCTCCCCTCTGGTGTAGATGAGCAGCGCACGTTGAAGGTGATCCCACCTTCCTCCTCTTCGTCGTCGCACTCTTTCTTACACTTCTCCGCTGCTCCTTTCTCAAGGTCAGCGATCTCTTTAGACTCTTCGCCTTCCTCATCCTCCTCCATGTCAGACAGGTGGTACACAGAGTCCTGAGCCAACGGGCGAAAACCCTTAGTTACAACCCCGGGGTGAGGGTCCAGGATAGTTGCTAGGTGAGGTGTGGCAAGCTGCTGCCAGTGGTGAAGCGTCAGTGACCCTAAAAACATCAATGAAGATATTTTAAACAAAAGTACAGCATACGGCACATTATACACCCAACCACAACTATTACAGTTATCTATAGCAATGGCCCGGGCAAGCAAAGACCTTGTATAAGCTTTGATCTTGATTTATGGACTTGACCTTGAAGCTGGGATGAAGAACAGTGCAGTGTTTTCTCCTACCATTAAACAAGGAGGATGTTCTGCCCTGTCAACAGAACCGGGCACCCTGCCTACTGAACTGTACCCCCGTCCCCCAGTCGACAACTGCCGGAACTGACGTAGCGCTAAGCTAGTGCTTCGTCTCTCTCACGCTAGCCATTTCCTCCACCACTCCCGCCCCCCGGTTGACAACTGTCGGCACCAACAGCACAATGCACAGGAGCACTGGGACATTTCCCGGTGACCTGGCCCGCTCAGTGATCTGAAGTCTGAGGCTGTCTACGCCTCGGAAGGAGAAAGGAGGGGGCAGGGGGTGGAGTCTGTCTTTCCCATTGCTACTACTCAGGAAGCTTCAATGAGGCGGATACCTGAGTGAGCGGCATGGATTGTTTATTTAAAATAATCAAGTGCGACCCAAACAGAGCCTTTGATCCAGCCCCTCAGCGATCACCGAGCGGGCCAGGCCACCAGGAAATGTCCTGGTGCTCCCGATGGCCAGTCTGCCACTCAGCACAATGCTCTGGTTAGTCACCTTCCATCAATCAGCCAATCGTGTGTCGTGTACAATTGTTCGTTGAAAACCCGCGAAAGAGTGAGTCTGCGAAAGTCAAACCGCAAAGTATCAGGGGACTACTGTATTTCTGTTCAACATCATTTCCTTTATTTAACCAGATAAAACCCAGTGAGATCAAGACTGCTCTTCCAAGGGTGATCTGGCCAAGAGGTCAGCAGCTCACGTCATAAAGATAATAAAAACAATTAACGATAGAGAATAAAACAGTATTATATCCACTTAGATGGCTTTGATTTCAAAGTGCAAGGCTGTTAAGAATAGCTGTGTAAAATTAAACCAACAGTAGTGTAAAAAATTACAAAGAAGCGTACATACGGGACAGTTACAAACGTTTAGTCGTTTCAAAATGGCAGCAAACTACTTCGGTCTCAGCTAGGTATAGATTAGCTTTTAGCTCATCAATCCAGTCAAATTAAAACTGTAAACGTCTGTCATCTCAGCTTACGTTGTAACGATAAGTAAGTGGAAACTACAGGTATGGGTGAGCTTGACTTTACTGGCCATGGATGGATGGATGTGTCACCCTCCATGTTGAAATGGGCGAGTAAAGGAGGAGATGTAAAGGACCTCAGCTAGCATAGTTAGCAGCAGGACACGTCTCTGAACCTGAAGTCTCCGTACGTTAAAGGAGTTTTCAGCTCGACTAAATCACCGCTAAGTCTCGACTGTTCGCACACGGTCATTTTTTCAACAAAAACGTGAAACTAAATCCTAAAATTAGCACCAGTTCTGTGAATGCTTATTATTATTATGTTTTGATGACAGAAATCAAAATGTTCGGCTATTTCAGGACAATCCTGCTATGACTTTTGGTATTGGTGCAACTTTAGCTGTTTGAAATATTTAACCTTTAAACACATTTTTTTCTCATAGAAAAAGAATTGAGCTCAGTTTACATCCTTCACATCTTTAGATGTTTACAACCTTTTACTGCTCCTTTCACATTTTGTTCTGCTTTAGCTTCTTTCAGCTTCCTTGTGCAAATATAAACTTTTTTCAGCTAATTTCAGAAAGTTTCTGCTGTTTTTTTTCAGCTGCTTTGTGCTCTTCAGAATCTTTCTTCTAACTTCTTTCTGCTAATTTCAGCTTGTTATGCTCCTTTCAGCTTATTTCTGCGTTTCAGCTTTTTCTGCTATTTCAGCAACTATTTAGCTATTTTTATGCTAATTTTAGCTGTTTCAGATAATTCTACATTTTTTGCACTTGTTTCAACCTTTTTCAGCGTAATTCAGCAAAAATGTGCTCTCTCCACTTCCTTCAGGTAATTTAAGCTTCTTTCTGCCTTTTAAGCTACTTTTCAGCTGATGTTTGCCAATTTCAGCTTTTTCAGATAATGACCACTTTTTTGTGCTCATTTCTGTTTCTTTCAGCCTAATTGGGCAAAATTGTGCTCTCTCCACTTCCTTTTGATAATTTTAAGCTTCTTTTTGCTGTTTTAGCTACTTTTCAGCTACTCCTAGCTAATTTCAGCTTTAGTTAGCTAATTTGCAAATTGTTGTGCTAATTTCTGCTTACAGCAAATATGCATTCTGTCTGCTTTCTTCTGCTAATTTAGACTTGCTCTTCCGTTTCAGCTACAATTCAGCATGATTTAGCTAATTTCAGCTGTTTTTCAGCAAGTTCTTCAGCAATAAGCATTCACACTGCATTTTTGCAGGAAATGCAATTTCTCTAGTTCAAACTGATTTCAGTTTATTGTGCTGAAACTTGCTGTTCTGCATCGATCACCCTTCAACAGCTGCGGTGCTTAATCGAACCGTTGGAATGCAGGGAGGCTTTCAGCCGCGAGTAAAAAGCTCTGCTGCCAGATAAACGTTACCTTCCATGGGTTTAACAATTTGAAGCTTCTCCGGCAGGAAAGTCTTGAAAATGGTGGAGCTGACTGACAGCTCTGACAGGTTGGAGAAAGATGAGTGCACACTGCCCATGGGGGAGCTGCAGCTGCTGACTTCTCCGTCTGCCTCTGCTCCTGCCAGGACCTGCAGCTTCTTCTCGCGCTCCGCCTGGAAGAACTGGCGCTCTGACAGCACGTTCTGTCGCCGTAGCGACAGGCGATGGAGCGCCTTGGTGAGGTTGTTCCCTCCTGGAGATCCAGGCTGGCCCTTTCGCGTCTCCTCCCTGTAAGTCCAGACGTGCACTGTGACTTTAAATACCCGTAACTGTAGTGAACGTTACAGCCAACAGAGGAAAACCTCTTACCTTTGAGCAGACGGGAAGGGCTGCGCGGTCATCACCAGAGAGCTCTGTCCCGAGCCAGGGATAGGAGGGGTGGCCGAAGGAGCGCAGGGCGCTGAGGCGTTGACAGAGCGAACTGTTTGGAAGATTCGCTTCTGGACAACCCTGCCAAGGAAGAAAGTCACAGATCAGAGCTGAAGTCCCCCATCGCCGAGGGATTTGAATTATGAATGTTTGTAGCTTTAGAGAGGAGGGTTTGTCCGGACTGGAACTGAACAGGGAGCACAAGTAAACCTTAATGTTTGTGATGCAAGATGTTCAAGTGGGTAGGAGTTAAGCCCCCAGTATACTCCCGCGTACGTACGCAGAGGGTTCAGGCTTCATACTCGAGCATACACCCCGAGCAGCTGCAGAGAAGATTCACAGACAAGGGGCGTTTATTGAGTTCGCCGATTGGTCACTTGCTGACACGCCTACTGGATTGATTGACAGGTCAAAAAAATTAAAAATCAGGGAGCGCTGGCCCTGCAGTCCACACATCAGACCAGCCCACCAGGAAGTCTCCAGACCCTCCCACAGCCACGCTGGACCTGAGTTTAATTCGCTCGTGACAAATTCCTTCATTTCTCACCATTTCACTCATGGCATCAACGGAGGAGGAAGAGATCACTGCCTCTTGGCATAAAAACAAAAGAAAAGGCCAGATCAGGGATGAAGAAGGGGAATTTAATACATTGGTGTCGCATACAAAACAGTCCGTCGCCGGGCAGTTTATTGTGCGACACCGCGTACACGTATGCGGTCGTAAAAATTGAGCTTTGCACGGACATGCCCTGGGGGGTACGCTCGTACCGCCGCGTATAGACGTACGCGGGAGTATACTGGGGGCTTTACACTGTGAATAAGAACAAAACGTTGTTTTGTTTCTTGTCCGAGGCGGCGCAAAGTGACAGATCCTGGTGAGTGGAGGGAACTTTACAGCCGCCAGGTGCAGTGGTGCAGTCAGAGGGTGGCCAATGGAGCCATGGCCATCTTAGATTAATCTTCAGCCACTCCAATCATTTTTGGGGAGTGGAGGAGGACGGAGTCACGTCT